GTGTGGATAGAAGAAGGAAGCCAGGAGGTGCCCAAGCAGCTGGCCTTGTGAGACTGGTCGCCGTCTGGCCTCTACCCGTTGACCTTTCAGGCATGATTGGATCTACGGCTGTGAGAAGCCATCCTGTGTAGCTCGCAGGGTCAATGGGGCGCGCAAGCCATCACACCACGTCAAGGTACAGTCTCGTCGTGAACAGTTTGAACAGTTAAGGTCTATCTTCATTGTATTCCTGTTATGGACAAGTCAGTGCACTGTATAGCCACACTAACCGAAATGCTCCACTATGCACCCGAACCTTCACAGATGCACCCTCCGGGTGAGGTATGGCTGCCCAAACAGTAAAATTCGTTTGCTTACTTAACTTCTAAGTTGCCGTGAGGTTTGAAGTCGAACCGACCCAGTCCTGTAGCAAGTCTATAGTTTGAAGGTGTGAGACGCATGGCAAACATCCAGGAAAGCTTTCAACTTATGCGGGTTTTCACTTAGCAGTAAACTGCCGTCAGCACACTCTACGGTGCGATTACTCCATCGTTTACCATCGTTTCGTCCCTCTCATCCGTGAACTTAAACAAGTAAATTCCCCTTGACTCTATTTGTGATCTGATTGGATCATATTCCGCGATCTGCGGCGCTTGAAATCCCTCACCCCAACACGAGACCGTCTGATTACCGACTTGTACGTTTTGTAATGCTCTTGTTGTTACTTCCAATCCATCTGTGTGCTGATGGCACTCCTGCTGCACAGTCGAAGTTCACTGGGCCTATCTGAGACTCACCGCTGTAAAACAAAGGTGTGGTTTCTCGCTCTGGTTAGCTGAGTAAGCACCAGGTCCCTGGTTGCGGCTGAACCATTCGACCGATAGATAGACGAACCCGATTGGTCGTGTGATTTTCGGGCCGGCACAGGAGGAGGATAAATTCCGAATCCGATGCTGCCTTAGTGTTGGTAGAGAATCACCACAAGAGAATCAGTTGTGAAGCGGTGCGCCATGTGGGAAATTCGGAGTGGAAAATGCTCAAGCAATGATGACACTGGGCGAACTCGTTTAAGGTACACGCACTATTTTTTGAAGCGGGTTCGGGAAACAGATCATAATGATACTTTGAACTTGTCTTAATAACAAACAACATTATCCCCTAATGTAGGTTCACACAAGACTCTTCTGGTTTTTCCCCAACTGGCTTTTTTCGCGTCGAACGATCTCTCTAACTACGTCGGAAATATAATTCCGAAAGAAAGAAGAAATATCACGGAAAAAATGTATTCATATTATAAAACTTGTCCCAATTGTTTTCCATCCTGCTGCTTGTATAGCAAAATACGACGAAGATAGTTTTCTTCCACCTTCAGAATGGTAGCAGTTGGAATACTTTTACACTGCGCCACAACACTCTGTTTAAGTTCCTCGATCGTTCTCAGGTTTCGGGAATAAACCGGTCGCCTTAGATATCCCCACAGAAAGAAATCTAAGGGGGACAGATCAGGTCATCTTGGAGGCTATTCCTTTGGTCCTCCATCTGCAGTTAAATTCCAATCGAGGAAACTTTCCACGACCGGAGCATTGTGTGGCGGTGCACCGTCATGTTGGAACTAAATAAGCCTGTGCGAATAGTTGAATGCTAATCGAAACAGTAACAGAGCATTGACGAAATTAGACGGGTCACTGACCAAAGGTAATCGTAACCAGGGTCTAACGCAACCCTTACTATTTTGGGTGATGTACCTCTACTTGGGGATAACGGCAATTAAGTGTGCTATATAAGAACAGGATTAAGAACAGACGGTCATTACACTGATTGTTATCATGGCTTGCTCACGTATTCGTCGTCTGTCGATCGACGATCGTTTGGCGTCGATCGCGACATACTACGGGAACAAGGAAAATCTTTCATTGACTGTGAAGGAATTCGACAACACTCGTACATCCTGGTTTTCATCACATTTGTTCCTGTCAATGCTTCGTTTTTCCAGCCTCATTCACGGGATTGAATATGATATTGCCCCACATCAGACGTAACATATCTGATATAGTACCCACTTTTCTTTGCTTATATTAGCCACATGCCATTATAATGTACGATTTTTCGATTTTACGACTGTTACTGAAGCATCAGCTGTAAAATAACAGTCACATGGGAAAACGTGACCAGAATTTATTTATTAAAATGATTCATATACTTCACCTTGTCCATGTTCCATCTGCCCTTCTTTATTTTTGAGCATTGGAGGCAGTCGCTTTAGCAGAGTTTACCAAGTTGACTGCCAAACAGAATTTGCCAGGTTCCTTAAATACACCCCGCATCCTAACCATTGACGACCAATGTCATAACAGCTGGTTTGTCCCTGTTTCTGATTAAGTGAAAAATTTTCGATTAAAATCCCAGCTGCTGTACGATATTTGAATGAATTTGACATTGAACTTGACCCCTCCCGGACTGCATAAATGTAAAAAAATAATATTTAATTAGGTCCGACCGTTTTTTTACTATCAATCTCAAGCGAGAAGATAAACCAATCTTCATCTGTGAAAAATATGACTTCCGTGAACGCATTTAGAGAGTAGCAGCCACCGAAATCATTTTTTAAAAAGAATGAACTCTCATGCTATTTCGCCTAAAATATTGTCCAAATCTGAGCTATAACCTTCGAACTATTACAAATTTTATCGCAACGCTCAAGTTCATGCTAATTCAAACGGCGATAGAAGAGAACTAGGAACATAAGAATGGGGGGTTAGGGGCTGCCCAGCTTGAGTAGACAATAGCCATCGAATGAAATGCGAAGACTTCTCCCGGCAAGATGACCGTGAATAGGAAGCCTTTGTGACCATGGGGTTTATCATCACACAGGTGTGCGGTAAACGATCACTCTGGACATTATGAAATCAGCCGGCTACGGTGAACTTTTCAGCGGAACAGCACAGAACGCAATGAATCTTTTGGGGGCGGTAAATTATAGAAATGATTCCTTAATGAGGAAGTATACATTATGGATAGTTATGAAACACCATAAACTGTAACTGAAAACAACGCCGACATTTAACAGCCAAACTGGTGTGAATGCAATACTGTAACTGTAACACCTTAACTAAAACTGTCTTCACTTGTAGTAGCCGGATCTAATTATTACAATGCTTCTGAGTCACGAATTCGAGATGGGCTACTCGTAGGCATCACAACAACAAGCAATTATTATAACATGAAGGAAAGATGATCGTAAATCGGCCACTGAATCCTCGCATTACAATACAGTAATGCGCAGTCCAAAAAGGGTACGTGAGGGCAATTAAAATAAAACTCACGATTGATGTTTGGAGTAGTGCGACTGAACGCATGCGATAAGACGTCTACCATCACTTTTCGCCGATGGGGCATAAACCGAAACAGTACCCTTGGGGAAATGCTCGGCTATATACTCAGTGATTNATGCTGATCGCCAAGGTTCTGATGAAATGTCGCCACCCTCTGCATCATTGGGCTCGAGAGAAGTGATATCACTGATCGTTTGATTAATATGATCGAAGTGGAATGAATTGTGAGTTCGTGGGCAAAGAAAATATCCTCCTCCAAGATCCCCGTGTACAGTAATAAGCGACGAATGTTCGGCATTTGGGAGTCGAACGGCGATCATCTGGTCGCGGTTATACTGGGCGGCTGCCCTATAAGAAAAAATAACATATAATGAATCTCACTTACGCTACCAGCTTTTTATGTACACTAGGATGGTCCGGACAAATGGCTCGGACATCTAAAAGTAAATAATACATGAGTTCAACGTACCATCGAGTACTTCCGGAAATTCACAAGGAGGTGCCAGAAGCGCTAAACGCGCACAGATACAGGCCTGTAAATAAACTGATAAATTTATATCCAAAATACGAACAGACATTGGCACAAGCCAAGCAACCCACCCGATCTTCCGGGGTAACACATTCATCCACCATACCGCAATTTTCGTATTCGGCGGCTAAATCCAGTTGAAGTCAGTTCAGTTCAGTTCAGTTCAGTTCAGTTTGCACAGGACAGTAGTGGCCGAGACCAA